AGAAAAGAGATTTTTTATGAGAAGAATGATATTGATTAAATAGATATGTATATATAACCTCTTTATTTTGTATGGAAAGTTTTATGTTCTCAAGTGCAAATGGTTGAACAAGAAACCACAATTACCAGTTTTTAAGATAGAAAGTAAATTAATACATTAATACTTTATTTGGTTTAAAGAATGAAAAAGCAGTCAAAACAGATAAAATATGTAAAGATTTAAACATTTTTCTATAATGCCTTTGTTTGTTCTTTAGTTATAGTTCTGTTATATTTTGTTACTTTATGTACTTTTGTCTTGCTTATAAAAGAGATGAAATAAAGCTTCAAAAAAAGGAATAATATGCAACACAATGAATTATTATGAATGAGCACGTTAGCTTGATAACAATAACAGGTGGTCTTATTATTTCACCATCATCATGTGTTATTTTCACGGTTATAAAGTATAATATCTTTCAAATATACAATTCAACTACAATTCATCAAATGGTAACATTTATGTTGTGTGCGTGGTTACTGGTCAGGTTGAACTGGGTGAAGGTGTGTCTGCTGACGATGTCCAAGACGTGGAACAGAGAGAAGTCGACCGACAGCAGGCCGACAGACAGCAGAGAGGCCGACAGCACCTGCAACACACCCGAGGTCTGCCAACACACACACGTTAATAATAAGCGGAGAATTGAAAGCCAAACTCAAAGACCCCCGCTGTGCATGGCAAGGTAAACGTCATTTATCCAACCAGAGCATCCATTCCAGCGACTAACAGCAGACGTTCCTCAGCGGCTGAGCAGCTCAACTGCTTCTTCGGCTGCCACGAGGAGGAGAGACCAGAGACTGTCATGTAGGGCTGCTCGAAATAAAACTGACACTGCAAAAAAAAAAGTAGCTCTACAGTTCAGTTGCTCTATTTGAAAATAACATCCCAGCGTTATTGGGGTGAATTTATAGGAAAATGCATACAAAATAAAAATAAATCTTCTTTTTTGAGTGCAAACTAACCTTTCTTGAGCTTGAATGCAGGAAATAGATTTTAAAATGAGATCAATAAAAATCAAAGAGCAGCTAAAACCACCAGATGGTTTCCAAAAGTTGCTTTTCTTTTTGCAACCAAATCCACTGTGTCGTGTTTTTTTCCTGTTCTCTCTCACTTATATTCACACTGTCATCAACAACTGATGGGGCCTGATTTGGTAGTTTGATAAACTGATCAAGAACTGTATTGTGACCCGCTGGTCACTCACTGGCAACAGACTCTGTGTATACAAGAACCCTTCAGTCAGAGTAAATGATGTTACATCTGACAGACTTCTCTTTAGTCGTGGAAAATAAGAACTGTGCGAGTTTTTTTTTTGTATCAAGCAGCAAAAAAGTTGAGGTGATAATTTCACTTGCTTGACATTATAGTTCAGTGATGTGACTACTGAGGTTGGGCACATTGCGATGATGATGCTGATATATGGTGCAACCCTAATGTCATGACCACCCCTCCATGTCAAGATACCAGCAGTCAGGTACTCATTATCCTGCCTGCAGACATCACACACACAGTCCAGAACAGACGGTGTTTCAGGACGGACTGTCCTGCAGAGCTAGCTGAGGTATTTATGAATATCTTTAACCGATCCCTATCACAGTGTAATGTCCACACCTGTCTGTAGCAACGCATTCTTATCTCAGTTTGGCTTCCGGAAGCGTCTCATAGAAAAGTGTGTCAAATAACTACGTTTTGTCACTTTTTCTGAAAGAGTTGGGACACCCCGAGCTGAGAACGGGCTGTCTGAAGACATCCACCGCAGTGCCAGTTCCGAAGCAGACTACAGTAACCTGCCTCAGTGATTATGGGACAGTGGTATTAACACCAGTAATCATGAAGTGCCTGGAAAGACTCAATCAAGGCTGCTCTCCCACCTAATCTAGAGCCTCACGAATATGCACACAGATCCAACTGAGAATCTTCATATATAATGTGTTATATGAATAAAGTGTAAAAACCCATGCAACACATAATACCAGAAAACATTTTGAACTCTGACCTGCTGATGCGATTAAACAAGTGAACCCACTGTGGCGCTGTTTGTGACACTTTTGATTTGAACTCAATGATAAAAAGAACGGCTCTCACCAAGGAAGACTCAGTCCCCTTTCTTTGTACCAAAATTTTGTCTTAAAGAACCAGATCGTTTGTGAACTAACCCACATCATGGTATCAGTCTGAAAGTACTGGGTTCAGATCAGAGCACTGGTAAAGCACAGGTATCATTAATATTGGTGTTACCCACCACTTGTTCGAGCTCCTCAGGGTGGATCTTTGGACTCCAGGGGTTGATGAAATTCTTTTTCTCTGATTGTTTCAGAGGCAGCAGACAGCGCTTCCCCTAAACACATCACACAACACGAGATGATGGATCAAGATCGTTCTGAAGTGGAGAAATCTTTTTCACACTGCAGGGAAAGAGGTGATGATGATGATGTTACCGCTCTCCTCCGGCGGGCGTCAGTCTGCCTGAAGTAGGTGGTGATGTAGACGTTATCGAATTGAACGTCCCTCCTGTACTGTATAAGGTAACTAAACGCTCTGAGGAGGAAGAAGAGGAGGAGGTTTTGGTCTCTGACTCAGCAGAAAGAAAAAGCTGATGTCAGACTTTTAGATCTTACTGGATGAAGATGGTGATGAAGGTGAAAGAGCGCAGCAGATGCAGGACGTTAAGCAGCTGCTTCATGGTCGTCATCAGCTTCTGGAAGGATCCTCTAACAGCCTGAGTGATCTCCTGATCCAGCGGAGCTCCACCCAACACCGACTGCTGCTGCTGCTCCTGCAGGAGGTCAGAGGACGCAAAGACTCATCTATCTACGCATTAGCAGAGAACCATGTAACCATGTAAAGATTTTGCTGAGGGTGGAGGAGGCGAAGGCAGTGACCTGCAGGACGAGCTCGGTGCTGAACTCTCTGGACAGCAGGTCGACTGAACGGTTCAGCTGATCAAACAGCTGCCCAAAGTTTCCCTCCACAGGGATCTGCTCCCTGCACCACGGAGTCATCACTGACGAAGAAGAAGAAGAGCCTGTTATAGACAAATGATGTACGAACCTCTCTGTATCAGAATGACAGATGAATGGCTTGAATATTTCTAAACTGATTAAAGAAGTCATGTTTTTAGTCATGTTCAGAGTCTTGTTTAGTCCGGTTGAACAGAACCTTGGAGAGTTTGAGTTGGTGTGAACGCAGGACTCAAACTGCTCCAATAACCATAATCTCAGGTTTATCTTGATTCAAATGTAAGACGTTCTGAATCATGTGACAGATGCATGCAGTACAGTTGTCAATGGGAGTCCAAACAGAGATATACAGCAAGGTATCGTTTGCATATTGGCTGAATGTTTGCAGGTGTATCACTGCCGTTCTGCTGTATTTTTCTGTTTAACAACAGTTAAATACTCTTTTATTCAAGTTAGCCTTTGTCTCGCCGCGTGCCGTCTACAATGTGAAAACGTGTGTGTTTTAAGGTCTATTATTGCTTATGTTTTACTGTTCTTTTTGCTTTTTACTCATTGTTGTTTCTTTACTATTTTTCTTTTCATTTGCTCATATTTCTAATATTTTACTCTTGTAAAGCACACTGTGACTTTTTTCTGTGAAAGCTACTATTTTAAATGAACTTACTAGGCAGCTGTCACTGGTGTGATCAAATCAAGTCAAGTCGAATTTTAGCATTCCACATGGGGAAATTTGGTTGTAGTCATGTATTAAAACACAGTCAATCCATCATAAATACAATTTGAAGACAACTTACCAGACAGGACACCGAGATCATATTACAATACAGTACAGGGCAAGATCATTTCATATGAGAACAAGGTGTGCAAATTGTTCAGTGCAAAAGTGCCAATTATTTCATTTCAACACTTTCTTGTATCTAAGCTAGCAGGCTAGCTACATAGTGCCTTGAAAAAGTTTGAACAATGGTCAAATTGGTAGCTCTATGGCAATGAGCATTAGGTCAAACATCATTTAAAAATTATTTATATAACAAGTGGTGTTTGTTGATTAAGCTGCAGTAATGCTGTGTATACAGTTACCACAGCATGGATCAATGGCGTTTCCTGCTACAGTGGGACAATCTGTATGTCTGTGTGAAGTGCTGTATGATAATTTATTTAAGTGCTATAAGACAGTAAAATAGCAGAGATTAACCACTCAGACACTAGAACAAGAGAAACATGCCATCAGACATTTTAAGATCTCAATGCAGCGCAAAATTATGTGGAACTTCTGAGCAGTCAGAGCCTGAATGTGCAGTAAATATCTTGAATTTGAGTCTAGTCGTAGTTTAAGTGGAGACCACAGAAAGACCCTGGCCAGTGGGACCTTTCACCTCTCATGATATCACACAGGAAGTGGAACTTCATGGAGACGCAGAGGATGTGGTTAATGACGGGGACCGGGATCGCAGTCATACATTCCTCCCACCTGAGGCTGAACCAGTCAGTACATCGCTGCACACCCTCGTCCACCACACCTGGAAAACAAACAGACACAAGCGGACGATAAATTTAACGTCCACTTGATGCTTTTTTACACAGCTTCCTATTAAAACTCTAGTTCATCTCACTCACCGTCGCACTGCATCATGGTCTTGGAGGTGTACTGCTCTTGTGTGCTGTTCCCGGCAGCGTGTTTGGGTTTGAATTGGTCGTATCCGTACTGAAGGACGACCTCGTCTCTGATGTTCTGAAACTTCCTGCTGATGCTCTGAGCCTCCGACTGAAACTCAGCTTCGTCATCCTGAACAGGAAACACAACACGCATCAGTTAACACTCCTATTAGGACCAGATACATCTGCCATATTTTGTTCCACAAACACATCCATGCAGCTAGGCTGTTCTCATTCCCAGAATGTCAAGCTACACTTTGTCATGTCTTTAGCGCCATTGTTTAATGCTAAAAGTATTACTTTAAATAACAGAAAAGTCAGAGTAAGGAGGTGGTGGGATGGACGGTTGGGACCAGAACCTGACTTTCACCCAGATGACTGGTGTTCATTTCCCTTGTGAAAAAAACTTTTAGTGATGGTACGTAGGTAGCAAAACTTAACTTACATAATTTCAGTGATGTAACTAACATAGTTATTTTAACCCAAACCATGACCTTTTCCTAAACCTAACCAAGTATTTTTGGTACCTAAACCTAAACAAACTGCAACGTTTCACAACCACTAGTTATACACTGAACAAAATTACAGACGCAACACTTTTGTTTTTGCACAAATCTGTCAAAATCTGTGTCAGTGAGCACTTCTCCTTTGCCGAGATAATTCATCCACCTCACAGGTGTGGCATATCAAGACGCTGATCAAACAGCATGGGTGTTGTACAGGTGTGCCTTAGGCTGGTCACAATAAAAGGTTTTTGGCTGGCCACAATAAAAGGTCACTCCAAAATGTGCAGTTCCATCACACACAATGCCACAGATGTCGTAATTTCTGAGGGAGCGTGCATTTGGCACGCTGGCTGCAGGAATGTCCACCAGAGCTGTTGCCCGTGAATTGAATGTTCATTTCTCTACCATAAGCCGTCTCCAAAGACGTGTCAGAGAATTTGGCAGTACATCCAACCGTCATGAACCGGTTTTCACTGTACAGGGCAGATGACAGACAGTGTGTATGGCGTCATGTGGATTAGCGGTTTGCTGATGTCAACGTTGTGGATCAAGTGGGCCATGGTGGCGGTGGGGTTATGGTATGGTCAGACAAGTGTTATGGACAAAAATTTTATTGATGGCATTTTGAATGCACAGAGATACCATGATGAAATCCTGAGGCCCACTGTTGTGCCATTCATCCACGACCATCACCTCATGTTGCAGCATGATAATGCACGCCTCCTGTTGCAAGGATCTGTACACAATTCCTGGAAGCAGAAAACTTCCCAGTCCTTGCATGGCCAACATACTCGCCGGACATGTCACCCATTGACCATGTTTGGGATGTTCTGGATCGGCGTATGTGAAAGCGTGTTCCAGGTCCTGCCAATATCCAGCAACTTTGAACAGCCATTGAAGTGGAGTGGACCAACATTCCACAGGCCACAATCAACAACCTGATCAGCTCTATGCAAAGAAGATGTGTTGCACTGCGTGAGGCAAATGGTGGTCACACCAGATACTGACTGGTTTCCAGACCCCCCCATTACAGTGAAACTGCACATTTTTGATGGCGCGGGGTGGGTGGCGGAGTGATGGGGGAAGGGGATTACAGTAGTAATCTTTACTCATTACCATTGACAGCAACATTGCCCAGCACCATTGCTCTAAAAGTTGCTCCGTGTATTCACCGCCGAGGCCTATGCGTGCAAAAACAATACTAAAGAGTACCCAGGGCGTTAAAAAGCAATGCCAAGGTGTCAGAATACATGTCCATATGTAACGCCCTGGGATGAGAACGGGTTGAACCATAACAACAACAACATACAGACACAGCCGACAATCAGATAAAAACACATCTTTTGTTTTGTTTTGTATTTTCGTAAATTTGGCAAATGCATTTAGCAGTTTTCAGCCATGCCAGCAGCGTCGCTCTATGGATGGTAATGTCTGTCGGTCTGTCCTTCATGTTGTTCAGACTGAAACATCAGCAGCTGCTAAATGGATTTTGATGAAATGTGGTCCAGACCTTCATGTTCCCCTCAGGATAAACTGAAATATCTTTGCTGATCCTCTGACTTTCCATCTTTTGGTTTATGACCATATACCTGCTGAACTAATTAGATTACCATCAGCCTCAGCTGTATGCTGTGTTTACTGCTAATTAGCTAATGTTAGCATGCTAACACACTGAATTAAGCATGAAAACATGGTAATATATCTGCTGATGTTAAACTGTCACTGTTAGTATGCTTATTATTAATGTCACATGTATGTTCATGTGTAGCAACATAGCAAACCACCATGTAAAATACTACTTGGCAATAAATCTCTTCCTGATTCTGATGTTAGCATTTAGCTCAAAGCACTGTAGTGCTGCTAGCAAGCCTGCAAGCTATAATGGTCTGGTTTTAAAGTCTTGTCCCAGTCACCATGAGCTCCTGGGCGATGAGTATAAAAGGTCTGATGGTGTCTCTCCACAGTAACTTGCTGTGATGAACCTGCAGGTCCAGGTTACAGCTCAGAGACACTGCAGCCGCCTCCACGTTACGCTGGATGTTAGAAACCGGTCCTGTAAAATCATCAGGAGACACGTTACAACAGCGATACAACACAGATCCATTCAATCACATCCAATACTGCAAGATATCATATTCTTTGACATAATGCACATTTGTGTTTTTTCAACATGATACTACTCCAAGTACACATTACAATACAGTATTTAAAAATGCTATTCATGATACTACATGACGTTTAGTTTCACATTAACAGGTCACTCAAGTTGATGTGATATAAGACTGTCGAGGTCGGGGGATTCCCTCCCTGGTCGACCCCCGTTTTCAACTGAACGGGCCCCCTTCCCACGCCACGGGGTTCTGCCGCCAATCGTCAGGCTGCCCGTCTGATTGTGGGAGCTGATAAAAGTCCGTCTCTGTTGCCTCTCGCTGTGTTCATGAATAACCTGCGTGATATTTTGCTGTATATAATGTTAAGTCAGGTTGTTGTGATATACAGATTGATGTTAACTCGTTTCAGGGATTAACTCAGTAGTTGTGGGAACCGGACAACAGGCTTAGGTTAGTTTATTTGTTTTACGCATCTCTAATTTTCTGCACCACACCTAGTTTTCATTGTTTATTCAAACATTATCTTTATGGGTGGCTGCAAGATGGAATTCTGGTTTGGCAGAGCAAGATTATCACAGGAAGATAGGAGTTTGAGTTTTATTCTTTAAGACTTTGTAGTTTGTAAAGTAAAAGGGGCTGGTCGGCTGGAAAGGTGCCTTCTTTTGTTTGTTTGTTTGTTGATTTGCCTGCAGCCCTTCCCTTTGTTCCCTGCCTCACCTTTTAATTTCTTCTTTTAATTTCCCTTGTGGAACATGTTGCTCAACCTTTGAAGAAATGTGTGTCTCCCATTGTCGATGTGTTGCTTCCTTTATCCTTCGACATGTACGGGTTTGTAGCAAAGAGGATGCCAGATATGTACAAATGTGATATGAAGGTAAATTATTCCCTAGCACACTCATTACATCATTCACCAATATAATCCAATTTAATTAAATAAGATCTGTGACACAGCACAGTTCACAGTAAACGTTGGGGTTGCGAGTGCTGCAGTTCAGGAATTTAGTGAATGTGTGTTTTGCTATCTGTCTATTTATATTAGAATGTACAAAACAAAAATTGATTCAAAGGTAGTTTAACCTAAACAAGTCACATAATATCAATGGAATCTGAAGCTAAAAAGGCCGTTACTGCTACACTGCTATCGCCGGCCGAACACTAGAGGAGGATCGGGACGATTCGCCCTCCCGACAATTGCGGGGGCGTTGCCGAGCCGAGCCTGGTGGGAACAGATTATTGGCCAAAATGATCCTGTGAGGACTTTACAGACAAATTCTTAAGGTTTACTGACTGGATCAGAAACCTGCAGCGGCCGATGAGAGCGAGCTGAGCGGGAAGCGTCCCCAGCGTGTTGTGTCTCTAAAATGTAGAAACCTGCTGATTCCTCCTCTCAGCCTCGAGTTCATCCACAGTTTGTTTCACGCACAAGGTCGACCAGCTGACAGTCTGCCTCCTCCATCTTTGTTTATGTCTGAAGTCACGTTTCATCACTCGAGATTCTGTGAGATCCCGAGTCCCCAGAAGTGTGGGGTCCTGAACCGTCTGGACTTCTTAAGATTAAAATATCAAACATAGGTTCAATCTGTCGTTGTGTCTTTGGGATCCAACGTTTTTAAAGTCTGTTAAGATGTGAAAATCCTCTCAGGTGCAGCAGGTAGAAGCTAGGCTAGTTTAGCTCCATCATCACTCGGTTTAGCTACTGTGTCATTTATGTAGGACAAAACACTAAATAAGCAAGATGTCTGTTAATCCAAAATAATATTTATGTACATTTGCAGATAAGGTAATAAGCATGAGTTGAATTTAATTCATTTAATTATTTCACAATTTATCTCTTAATTTCTATATTTAATTATGTGATTGTTTATTTCCGAAGGATTGATATAATATTATATATTATATATATATAATATATATTATTGAATGTTTTAGGGCTCCACAGTCTCCCACACGGGTGTACAGGTAAAGTTAGTGTGTGTGTGTGAGTTCACCTCTGTAGAGCACAGACAGGAGTAACAGCATCAGGTAGGCTCGGCCACGAGAACCGAACACGCCAGGAAACATCAGGAGGACCGAACATCTGCAGGTGGAGGACAAGGCGCCGCACACCGCACACACGGCTGGAGCACGCACACACATGTGTTAGTCAACATGTGACTTTCAATTATTTAATAATTTCAGGTAAAAAGCGATGTGTGACGTCTGCTCACCGACAAACAAACCTCCTGCTGCCAGCTGCAGGTCAAAGGTCAGCGGGAGGCTTTGGCAGACTCCCAGGAACAGGACTGAGGGATCATAACGGGGTGCGTCAGGTTAACTGGACACATTAACTAGCAATAAAATGTAATCAATTCAAAAATAAATTCAACTGGAAAAAAGATCAAATAAAAATCATTTTATGATTTTTGTGATTTATTTTTCATATTAAAATAAATAGATGAAAATAGAGTTGATTAAATATTTATAAAAATAAAAAAATATATTATATATAAAATATATATAGCTGTTGCTATAATAATTAGTAAGTATAAGTAATACAAAAAATGAAATATATTTTAATAAACAAATATATAAAAAACAGTATCATCTTTATTTTTCTGGCTAAATTGATTTTTAAATTGTAGTCAATTAAAAAATTACTTTAATTTGATAAAATTGAGTGCTTTATGAAACATCTATGCAAACATTTAAATAAATAATAATAGCTGTTGCTGTAATAATGAAATAATGCAAAAACTAAACTATTATAATAAAAATAAAATGAAATGGGACATTGTAAATAAATCATTTAACAATTTAAAATAATTTAAAATAAAACTTCATTTCAAATCATTTTAGAATACAAAAAATAAGTAATTAAAAAATAACAATTCTAATAAACATTTAAATAAAAAAAAACAATACAATTTGAAAAGAAAACAACAGAGAATGCTAACAATTCTTAGCATTAATGCTACGAGTGATAACAACATTAGCCTGTTAAGGAGGAATTGTAGACTCCGGGGTTGGGGTTAGTAATGGACGTTACCTGCACCGCTCACTGCCCCAACAGCGCCCTGAGGAGCAGGTGAGCAACCCGAAACTCTTTTGATTGGCTGAAGAGGAATCGGTGGACGACAGAAGGCAGGACGGCGGAACTGATCCTCTGCACAGCTGGAGGACAGACACAGACGGTCAGACAGATGCAGCTGGAGATGTTGTATTTGAGAAGAAGAAGAAGATTGAACGTACTGCTGTGAGGAGGCGAAGGTGTGCGCAGGTGAGTCATGATGTCAGTCCAGTCTCAGGGTTGCTGGTTGTCAGGTGGAGCTTCTGGAAGCTTCAGGTTTCTTTTGGTCTCCAGGGAGACGTGAAAACACCTGAGACAGACTGTATGAAAGAAGGCTGAAGTAAAGGATGAAGACTGGAAACAGGAAAAGACACCTGATGAAAAGAGGCATCAGCGTCCAGGTGGAGAGGGGCGGAGTCAGGCTGGCTGTCAGGAGAGCACTGAACAGGTGAGTGAGCGCTCAGCTAGATCGACTGATTTTTTGGTGTGACCCCCTTCAGAACGCTTGTTTTGTCCGACCTGGAAACAGGAAATGTTTTTTCATTAAATTATGACTTTGACACCTGATCCTGACATCAATCGACTGCGTCAGCTGTACTTGAATAAACTTCTTTTATAATCTCTTTGTAGGTTTTGTGTGTAAAAGTCTGACTCTGTAAAGTAACTGAACTGTCAGGTAAATGTTGTGAAGCGATGAAGTAGCCTGAAAAGAAAATACTCAAGTTAAGTACTAGCAGCCTACAACACGTGTACTTGAATGAGTACTAGTAAGACTGCTGACGTCGTTTTTCCGTCCACCAGGTCGGCGGGACGCTCTGGCCTCAGCAGCTGGGGGAAGGTCAGAGGTCACCTGTCAGAGGGGGGGCGTCGCCTCGTGCCGTTTGTTTCCGGGCTGCTGTTGGCGTCTCTGTACGGCGCCACGGCGCTCTTCCTGCAGAGGCAGCCACTGTGGCTGTGTGTCTACACCACGCTGGCGCTGGCCGTCCTGGCAGCCTTCGGGATGGGCCTGTCAGCCGGCGTCCGGGCCGACGTCATGGTGCTGCTGCCCTCGCTGTGCTCAGGTGAGTCCTTCGCCTGTCAGGTGTCAGGTCGTTCTGCCTGAAGAGACTGAAACCCAGCCGCAGGTATAAAATGACCAGCGTTACATTAAACCTGCACTGACGTCTCTAACAGGAGAAAGTCAAGTGTAAAATAAAAGTAATCGTGTCTTTCACACTTTATCCTGTAACATAACCTTTATTTGGGGCTCTCAAATAAAGGCGGGGCTCCTGGTGGAGGCGTGGCCTCCCTGATCAGCCTATCACAGCGCCTCGTGTCTTGTGTTGCAGCTCAGGGCAGGAACCTCCTCCTCTTCCTGTTCGCCTCGGTGCTGCTGTCTGGTCCGCTCAGCAACACGTTAGAAAACACGGAGCGAGCCGCCGCCAGTCTGCTGTGTGGAGCCGAGCTGGCAGCCAATCAGACGCAGGAACTGATGCAGAGATCGACCACGCCCCTTTTCTGTAAGACCCGCCCACCTCCACATCACTGAAAAACTGCTGTTATAAATTACTGTTCTTAAATACTTGAGTATTTCCACCTTCTGCAACTTTATACTTCTACTCTGTTACACCTCAGTGTTTACTCCACTGCACGTATTTGATAACATAAAGTAACTTACAAGTTTTGTTTATTTATACAAAATATACAAATAAATGATGATGTATTATTACAGATGAATCTGCCCAGCAGAGTATAAAGTTGCAACATTAAAATAATAAACCCATGAATAATTATAATCCAACAGTATAATAAACTGTATATTATTCTGTAAAATAAGTAAAATTTCGCTTTTGTTCTTAAGTAAGAATTTGAATGCAGGACTTTTACTTAATAATGGAACGTAATGGAGTATTTTTACACTGTGATGTCACTCCCAACCCGTCACACGTGGACGCTTGGTTAAGACCCCTTGGCATAGCTTGTTGACGCCCTGGGCTCCCTTTAGCGTAGTTTTTTGACAGCAGTCAAGTAAATTTGCAACGTCCGGTTGGACTCTATAATAAAAGTGTTAATGTTGTGAAACCTCACTATTTGGTTGGGTTTAGGAAAAGGTTGTGAAAATTGCAACAAAAATTGTGTACAAATGTAAATTCTGTGAGAAAGGTTTACTTGCATGACAGGAAAACATGAAATGCAATGTAGAAGAAACAGATCTGCCTTGTCCAAAAGAGTAACTTAAAAAACAAGCTGCTGATTACTGTATTATTATTATTATTATTATTATCATTATTATTATTATTATTATTATTATTATTATTATATTTGATAATATTTTTATATTCTGAATTGTAACCGGCCACGTGAATTTTGTTTCCCTTCATATAAATAAAGACATTTCCACCATAAATTGGTACAGAAAATGTCTCCAGACTGCAGGAAATTGAGAGCTTAATGCTTAATGCTTGCATAAAAACATTTATTTTTGACTTTTTTGTTTTGGGAAACGAACGCCAGTCTCCGGGGTAAAAGTCCGGTTTCTGGCCAACTGTCCACCCCAACCTCCTCCGCCTCCCTTTAGCATTTTAAGTTACGCTTCAGGCCTTCCCCCAGAGCGTTGAACTATGACACCAAGTGGCTCCTCAGAGTGTTACAACAGACACTAACGGGTCTTGACCATACGTCCATCTCGCTGACTTAAATCATTTTTCTCATTCAGCTCAGTTCAGCCACGATCATTTGATTCAGTCAAAGTTTCCCCATGTTGATGTGCAGTTTCTGTTGTTTGCAGCCGTGTTGGACAGAATCATAGAGATCAGCAGCAACGTGCACTCTGTGGCGGCGAGAGTCCAGAACCTGATCCACGCTCTGACCGATGGCGTCCGCCATGTCGGTGAGCGACGCTGCAGGTTTATTATTAACACAGAGCTGCTGAGTTTAGTCTGGAAATACAGAATCTTTACGTCTGCTCAGATCACCTTTCATCCCTCTGACTGCTTCTTTTTATCGTCAGTCCTGGAAAACCTTTTATATTTAAATCTCGCATCGTTTGATTGGCATTAGTCAGTTTCAGGAGACACTGAGGAGGCTCAATCTGTCCTTGGGGAGGTTATTGGGTCCTTGAGTCTTGGAGGAAGTTTCAAGGGGTCTGAAGGAGATTCCAAGTGGCCTTGAGGTCCATTTAGAGGTTCCAGAAGTACTTAAAGAAGTTTTAAAGGATCTTGAGAAGGTTCAAGGGCTCCTTAAAGAGGTTGCACTGAGGTTATGGGGTCCTTGGGAAGGATCTAAGAGGATCTTTAGGAGGAGTCTATTAGGAAGTTCTAGAGATCTTGAAGATGTTCCAGGACTTCTTAGGGATGTAATCAGGTCCATAAGGAGATTCCAGTAGTCCATTAGGTCCTAGTTCTAGAGACCTTGAAGGTTCTAAGAGGCCTTGAGAAAGTTCTAGGGGATCTTTAGGAGGTTCCAGGAGTCCTTGGGCAGTATCCAGTATCCAGTACATATTTAGTTACAACAAATCAATAAAACTAAATATCTCATGTTTAGTTTAGCTCATGTTATGCAACTGTGACCTCTGACCCTGCAGCTCGCACTCTGAGGAACGTCCTCCACTTCCTGGTCGACATTGGTGACATGTGTAACGCCAAACTGGGCTCTCCGTACAGGAAGTGCCGGGCGGTGTTCGACCAGGCCCGAGGCGACTGCTACGACCTGCTAGGAGAGTTCAACTTCCTGTGTGACATCGTGGACGGCTTCCTGCCGCTCTGCAGCCTCGCCCGCGGTGCGTTCACTGACCATCACCTCTGTTTACTGGTTTTAAAGGACCCATCAGCTTCCTGGTCCTCATTAGTCAGCCTCCGCTTGTGAAATGCAGTATGTGATGTGTTTTGCGGCCTGATAAGACTGAATGCTCAATGTGGTTTCCAACCATATTTTCTCTGTCATGTGATGGACACCAGCTTTGCCGAGTCCTGCCTCTGATTGGCCAACTCTAACCAACTGTACTAACCAATCTGAGGTAAGGTTGTTGAAAATCTGGCGAAAAAAAAAAATCTCTTTCAGATGACGTGCGTCACCAGCAACAATGTTAGGATTTATTACGCGAGTTTAAATATATCATTAACATAATATTGGAAAAAGAAACAAGCTGAATGTCGTTTGTCGTTAATGTGAAATACTGAAGCTATAAAATCTTGTGAAAAAGATAATATATAGTTTTAAAGTTCTATTCAGTAGTACAGTTAAGTACTTAAGTACATTGACACATCGACATGTTGATCGTATACAGGACTTAAATTCATGTAAACTAAATAAATGAAACTACAGAAATGGTCCCTCTTAATATTATGAGGAGGAAAAAAAACACAAACAAAATTTACAGATTTCCTACACTGTTATTTGTTAATAGGATTTTATGCATAAACAATTATGTAACCTAGTTACATTACAACAAACAGGAGGCCAATAAACAGTAGAAAGTACTTCATATTTAAATATTTCCACACTCTTTAGAGCAACATGCTGTAACACACCTGCATTTATGACAAAAGACAAAACAGACTCGTCATCTCATGTCTGGAAAGACAGCTCCGTGGTAAAGTTAGCTATCTGTACTGGAGAGATTTTCTGAGAGATCTCAGATTCAAAACTCATAAAAATCATCATCTGCATAAAAATGAATGGTTAACTTAATAAACAGTGAATTTATTCCTAGCAAAATAATGTTCACCCAAAGAAAGCCAGCTCCACCTTAGCGTCCTTTTCATGTTAGTTAGCATTGTTTTAGTCCATGGACGTTCATGAACACGTAACCTGGTGGAATATTACCCATAACTCCTTGCCATTACTAACGTTACTCAATGCAGGCAAAATTTTATAACAGCAGGTGGCATAGTTTAGCCATTTAGCGGGAGTTAACCAACCCGAACTATCTTACACATGCACTGTTTTAGGGCCCCGTGTCCACCAAAGCGGATTTTTTTGCCAGCTGAAAATGCCACCTGCTGTTCTGAAAACGCCTAGCTGGGAGCGCTAGGGTGCGTTTTGGAGGTGTTTTTTTCTGAGACGCTGTGGTTGCTATGATACATAATTTCCTTGGAGGCGATATGCTGCAAGTAGCCTACTTAATTTTGGTGAATGTAAAAATGTCACCACAAAGTACGTAGGCCTGCTGGCTCTGCATGAAGAGAAGGCTGAAACATGAGAGCAGAGACTCTCCGTACGTGGGTTCATGAGATTCTGCGGGCGAGGAAACACCTCGGCGAGTTGGCACATCGCTTTGTTCAAGATAGGATGTGTTTGGTGCGGTGTTTGTCCCGCCCCTCCTGCACTGTGATTGGACGGCTGGGTAAAAAGTGACAATGATGAGCGCAGCGTTTTTTCTAAAGTTGAACATTTTTCAAATCTCGTCGACTGAAAAAAAAAACGCTCAGCGCCTCGTCACGCTCCCGTTGGAATGAATTGAAAAAAGACGCTGGCATCAGAAAAAAACGCTTTGGTGGACACGGGCCCTTATTAATTTCTTTAACTGCTTCCCACTGAGGATGAGATGCTAACTGGACTGAAACTTTGGTGACTAACTTTATTTTTTTTAAATAAATTTATTTTTTTAAATAAATTTAGAAACTAGAATTTTTTTTACAACTTGTTAGCTGATTAACATGTAGCATTAGCAATACGCTGGATCCTATTTCTGCACACCTTGCTGATGTTCAAATGCTAAAACACAAACATGTTTCTAAAAGACTCAAGATAAATTTGTATTTGCTCAAATTTACCTGAACATTTACTCACACTGAGTGTCTTTCTTCCAGATGGGTTTTCATTTTACTTATAGCAGATATTCCACAAAAGTGACAGACCTGTTAGCTTCTCAGTTAAAACATAACTGATTTCTCCCTTTTGTGGCAGCAAAGAAATCAACACACCTCAGGACTGTGGTCTCAGACCTCAGACTTCAGTTGGACTTCCTCGATGTCAATGGACAATTTCACTTTTACGTTCAACCGTTTAAAGACAAATCATAGAAATAATAAACAGATTATTTGATCATTAAAATGAGATTTTTTTGAGTCTTAGTATTCATCATTAAAACTCACTGTCTGTTTCAGCTGGCGAGCTCTTCTGCATCATCCCCTCCTTCATCGCCAGCCATCTGAAAAAACATCTGGCGACTCGTGAGTTCATTATTTCGGACTGTTTTTAACCTTTATCGACAACCTTAGTCCTGCCGCTGAGCCGCTGAGTCTGTCTTCTTGCAGCCACCGTTGCAGCGTTCGAGCGAATGAAGCGGGAGTTTGACTTCAATATCTCGGCCTCGGTGGACTTTGACCTGGACGCCAACAGCAGCAGCTCCCTGCAGCAGGTGTCTCAGGTCATCATGGAGGAAGTTTCTTCAGAGCTGCAGGTGTTTCAGAAGCTGAGCGAACCGCTGGTGTACGCCAGTCTCCTCCTGCTCGTCTGCGCCTTCCTGAGGTCAGAACTCACTCTGTTTCCTCCATCCGCACACTTCAGTTTCCTCCATCCGCACGCTTCAGTTTCCTCCATCCGCACGCTTCAGTTTCCTCCGTCCAACCGCTTCACTTTCCTCCTTTGACACGCTTCAGTTTCCTCCTTTGACACGCTTCAGTTTCCTCCATCCACACGCTTCACTTTCCTCCTTTGACACGCTTCACTTTCCTCCATCCACACGCTTCACTTTCCTCCATCCACACGCTTCAGTTTCCTCTGTCCGCACGCTTCAGTTTCCTCCATCCACACGCTTCAGTTTCCTCCTTTGACACGCTTCAGTTTCCTCCTTTGACACGCTTCAGTTTCCTCCTTTGACACGCTTCAGTTTCCTCCGTCCACAAGCTTCACTTTCCTCCATCCACACGGTTCAGTTTCCTCCGTCCACACGCTTCACTTTCCTCCGTCCACACGCTTCACTTTCCTCCTTTGACACCCTTCAATTTCCTCCTTTGACACGCTTCAGTTTCCTCCTTTGACACGCTTCAGTTTCCTCCATCCACACGCTTCACTTTCCTCCATCCACACGCTTCAGTTTCCTCCATCCACACGCTTCACTTTCCTCCTTTGACACGCTTCACTTTCCTCCATCCACACGCTTCAGTTTCCTCCATCCACACGCTTCAGTTTCCTCCTTTGACACGCTTCAGTTTCCTCCTTTGACACGCTTCAGTTTCCTCCGTCCACAAGCTTCACTTTCCTCCATCCACACGGTTCAGTTTCCTCCGTCCACACACTTCACTTTCCTCTGTCCACACGCTTCACTTTCCTCCTTTGACACCCTTCAATTTCCTCCTTTGACACGCTTCAGTTTCCTCCTTTGACACGCTTCACTTTCCTCCATCCACACGCTTCAGTTTCCTCCATCCACACGCTTCACTTTCCTCCTTTGACACGCTTCACTTTCCTCCATCCACACGCTTCACTTTCCTCCGTCCACATGCTTCACTTTCCTCCGTCCACACGCTTCACTTTCCTCCTTTGACACGCTTCAATTTCCTCTTTTGACACGCTTCACTTTCCTCCTTTGACACGCTTCACTTTCCTCCATCCACACGCTTCACTTTCCTCCATCCACACGCTTCAGTTTCCTCCTTTGACACCCTTCAATTTCCTCCTTTGACATGCTTCAGTTTCCTCCTTTGACACGCTTCAGTTTTCTCCATCCACACGCTTCACTTTCCTCCTTTGACACGCTTCACTTTCCTCCATCCACACGCTTCAGTTTCCTCCATCCACACGCTTCAGTTTCCTCCTTTGACACGCTTCAGTTTCCTCCTTTGACACGCTTCAGTTTCCTCCGTCCACAAGCTTCACTTTCCTCCATCCACACGGTTCAGTTTCCTCCGTCCACACACTTCACTTTCCTCCGTCCACACGCTTCACTTTCCTCCTTTGACACCCTTCAATTTCCTCCTTTGACACGCTTCAGTTTCCTCCTTTGACACGCTTCAGTTTCCTCCATCCACACGCTTCACTTTCCTCCATCCACACGCTTCACTTTCCTCCATCCACACGCTTCACTTTCCTCCTTTGACACGCTTCACTTTCCTCCATCCACACGCTTCACTTTCCTCCGTCCACATGCTTCACTTTCCTCCGTCCACACGCTTCACTTTCCTCCTTTGACACGCTTCAATTTCCTCTTTTGACACGCTTCACTTTCCTCCTTTGACACGCTTCACTTTCCTCCATCCACACGCTTCACTTTCCTCCATCCACACGCTTCAGTTTCCTCCTTTGACACCCTTCAATTTCCTCCTTTGACACGCTTCAGTTTCCTCCTTTGACACGCTTCAGTTTCCTCCATCCACACGCTTCACTTTCCTCCATCCACACGCTTCACTTTCCTCCATCCACACGCTTCAGTTTCCTCCTTTGACACGCTTCAGTTTCCTCCTTTGACACGCTTCAGTTTCCTCCGTCCACAAGCTTCACTTTCCTCCATCCACACGGTTCAGTTTCCTCCGTCCACACGCTTCACTTTCCTCTGTCCACACGCTTCACTTTCCTCCTTTGACACCCTTCAATTTCCTCCTTTGACACGCTTCAGTTTCCTCCATCCACACGCTTCACTTTCCTCCATCCACACGCTTCAGTTTCCTCCATCCACACGCTTCACTTTCCTCCTTTGACACGCTTCACTTTCCTCCATCCACACGCTTCACTTTCCTCCGTCCACATGCTTCACTTTCCTCCGTCCACATGCTTCACTTTCCTCCGTCCACACGCTTCACTTTCCTCCTTTGACACGCTTCAATTTCCTCTTTTGACACGCTTCACTTTCCTCCTTTGACACGCTTCACTTTCCTCCATCCACACGCTTCAGTTTCCTCCATCCACACGCTTCACTTTCCTCCTTTCACACGCTTCACTTTCCTCCATCCACACGCTTCAGTTTCCTCTGTCCGCACGCTTCAGTTTCCTCCATCCACACGCTTCAGTTTCCTCCTTTGACACGCTTCAGTTTCCTCCTTTGACACGCTTCAGTTTCCTCCGTCCACAAGCTTCACTTTCCTCCATCCACACGGTTCAGTTTCCTCCGTCCACACGCTTCACTTTCCTCCGTCCACACGCTTCACTTTCCTCCTTTGACACCCTTCAATTTCCTCCTTTGACACGCTTCAGTTTCCTCCTTTGACACGCTTCAGTTTCCTCCATCCACACGCTTCACTTTCCTCCATCCACACGCTTCAGTTTCCTCCATCCACACGCTTCACTTTCCTCCTTTGACACGCTTCACTTTCCTCCATCCACACGCTTCACTTTCCTCCGTCCACACGCTTCAGTTTCCTCCGTCCACATGCTTCACTTTCCTCCGTCCACACGCTTCACTTTCCTCCGTCCGCACGCTTCAGCTTCCTCCTTCGACACGCTTCAGTTTCCTCCGTCCGCACGCTTCAGCTTCCTCCTTCGACACGCTTCAGTTTCCTCCATCGTCACGCTTCAGTTTCCTCCTTCCACACGCTTCAGTTTCCTCCATCGTCAATCTGCAGTTTCCTCCATCCACACGCTTGTGTGTGTGTGTGTGTGTGTGTATGTGCAGAGCGGTGCGTTACAGACGCAGGTATCTCCATGAGGACGACTTTGATAACGTCTACATCAGCGCTCAGTTTGAAGAGCTCGACCAACAGGTGACCTCACAGGGCGGAGCCTCAGTCCTGCCAATCACACGCAGAGAGGCCAAGACCTACATCACTCCATGTCAGTACACCTGTGTGTGAAGTGTAAACTGTCTGACCTAACTAACCTGAGCTAAACTGAGTTGAAGCGTCCCGTCTCTCCTCCAGTGTCGTTGCAGCTGACAGCAAAAGAGCAGCAGGCGGTGTTGGTGGGCGTGGTCTCAGTCTTCAAACACCTGGTGATGGGGGGCCTGCTGGTGGCGCTGGACTTCCTGGTGTTCTGGATGCTGGATCAGGTGCACCACCAGGTGACCGCTGATGTCGTGGCCAGAGGTGAGAACCCCCTCCTGATGAACATGACCGTGGCGTTGAACAAAAGTTAACCGTGGTAACGTCTGTCCCTTCAGCTCCGGTCATGGTGGCGTTGCAGGTGAACGGATCAGGTTACGCCTCAGACATCTTCAGAGACGTGGTGGCTTCGTTTAACGTCCTCCAGGGAGGAAACATCACTGTGATCAGCAGGAAGTGTCTCCTGGAGCCTTCAGAGCCGAGCTACGGCAAATGTTTCATCCTAGGTACGAGTCTGACCCTTTAGTGTCGCTTTTTAACGCCCTGGGTACCCTTTAGTGCCGGTTTTCAATAAATATACAACATCCGGTTAGATTTTCAAAATAAAAGAACCTGTTAATGTGAAATATCGCAATTTGGTTAGGCTTAGGAAAAGATTGCGGTTCAGGTTAAAATAACTTTGTTACGTATGTCAGTTAACTTACGTAACTTAAGTAATGTTACTTGCAAAACTGATGCGACTGACGTAACCTACATGACGTCAGTAAAAACATTTAATGTTGAGTTCTTGTTTCACACGGGAAACAAACACCGGCCTCCTGGTTCAAAGTCCAGTGTCTGGCCCTCCAACCACCTCCTCACTCTGACTTCTCTGTTCAAAACTGACGCCAACGGGTCTTGACCATGTGTCCCAAATGTGACAACCTGTGAGTGAGAAGGCGTTGGTAGAAGTGCAAACACGATGTCACATCATAGCTGCAGTGGTGCAGAAGTATTAAGAACTTTTACTCAAGTTTACTACTAACCCCACAATGTAAAAGTACTCACTCTGTAAAAAAGTCCTGCACAGAAAATATCCCTTCAGTAGAAGTCAGCATGTGTGGAGCTAAAACTGGAACCAGGTTCCTGCAGCTGAAGTGGAAGTCGAGTTTCTGAGTGCATAAAAAAAGTTCCTGCTGTGGAAAGGAGCCAGTAGTAGTTTCACAACCTGGATCTCTGTGTGGACTGACAGCTGGGCGTGTTTCAAGGTTTTATCTTCAGATCAGATCTGAACCTGAGGGCGAATGTAAATAAAGTTTGATTGACAGCTGAGAGAAATAACGAACACTTCCTACAGGTGTGTGTTGGTGTTGTCGAGTGTCACCGTTGAAAACCCGATTATATACAGTATATTCTGGTCAAAAGTTAATACATCAAAGAATAACCAAAGAAGTTAAGAGAAAGTTTAGGTCAGTAAAAGTGAGAAATAATGTAAATTTAAGAGAAAAAACATTTTCAAAAATAATCAGTTAACAATTTCAAGTTCTTCTACAGCAGTGGAAGGAAATGAAACACATTTCTACAGTAAACACCTTGGAATAGCCTGTTAATGCACCTCAGAAGCTTTATGTGTACTATATTATGCACTGAAAAAAATTATAAAGGCAGCATTTTTGTTTTTGCCCCCACTCATCATGAGCTGAACTCAAAGATCTGAGACTTTCTCTATGGACACAAAAGGCCTGTTTCTCTCAAATATTGTTCACAAATCTGTCAGAATCTGTGTCAGTGAGCACTTCTCCTTTGCCGAGATAATCCATCCACCTCACAGGTGTGGCAGGATACTGATCAGACAGCGTGGGGATTGCACAGGTGTGCCTTAGGCTGGTCACAATAAAAGGCCTTAGGCTGGCCACAATAAAATGCCTTAGGCTGGCCACCACAAAATGTACAGTTCCATCACACAGCACAATGCCACAGATGTCACAAGTTTTGAGGGAGCGTGCAACTGCCATGCACAAAAGAACTACAAACATGGCGGCCTTCCAAAACTTTTGTCTCCATTTAAGTCTGTTTATTAAACACATTTATGACAACAAGGGTATTCATAAGAAGTGCTTTACACATAAAGAGGCATCAAGAGGGGACACAAGGCATCAATATAAAACAGTATATATATATACAGTTTTAAAAGAATAAACTAAGTTCAAATGAATGTGTGTGTGAATGAGTGCAGCGAGAGACATGAGTCATCTTTGATTTGAACCAACCGTTAATCAAACAGTTCATATTTAGTCAGGAGAGTCTGAATTGTTCTCAGCTAGTTTGTTCTTCACGCTCTAGTTACGGTGTCGCAATGTTGAATAAGACATAAATAAAATGTTACAGCTGATTACAAAAGACAAACAGCTCCCTGCAGAGGGGCCTTTGAGCAAGACATTTACCCTCCAGCTGCCCTCAGCAGAAGTTCTGCTGGTCTCACTGGTTCTGGTTTGTGTTTCAGGGTTCCTGTTGGGTCTGGCTCTGCTGGTCTCTCTGAGCGGAGGATTCGTGCAGCGCTGCAGACGACTCGTCTGTGCTTCATATCATCCAAAGAGAGAGCTGGTAAAAACACACACACACACACAGACACACACACACACACACAGACACACACACACACACACACACACACACACACACACACACAGACACACACACACACTCAGCTCAGGACCGTATCATGGTCGCCATGGTAGCGACCTGTCAGTCAGCTTGTAGCCCCGCCCTAAAGCCTCCCCTGCTTCCTGGTCTCTGTTCCTCTAAATGGGACCATAATTTACTAAATGAACATCATGCTGTGTTGAAGAAGACTTGAAACTAGCGACTGAGACCAGAAACTCATCAGGAAAGTGTTTACTGAGGGAATAAATCAGCTGACAAGTAGAAACATTTTCTCACAGACTTCTATACAATCACACTTCTTTCTGCAGCCGCTGGAGTCGCCCCCTGCTGGCTGCTGGAGAGGACGCAGGTTTAAGTCGCCCCCTGCTGGCTGCTAGAGAGGACGCAGGTTTAAGTCGCCCCCTGCTGGCCGCTAGAGAGGACGCAGGTTTAAGTCGCCCCCTGCTGGCCGCTAGAGAGGACGCAGGTTTAAGTCGCCCCCTGCTGGCCGCTGGAGAGGACGCAGGTTTAAGTCGCCCCCTACTGGCTGCTGGAGAGGACGCAGGTTTAAGTCGCCCCCTGCTGGCCGCTAGAGAGGACGCAGGTTTAAGTCGCCCCCTGCTGGCTGCAGGAGAGGACGCAGGTTTAAGTCGCCCCCTACTGGCTGCTGGAGAGGACGCAGGTTTAAGTCGCCCCCTGCTGGCCGCTAGAGAGGACGCAGGTTTAAGTCGCCCCCTGCTGGCTGCAGGAGAGGACGCAGGTTTAAGGCGCCCCCTAATGGCTGCTAGAGAGGACGCAGGTTTAAGTCGCCCCCTGCTGGCCGCTAGAGAGGACGCAGGTTTAAGTCGCCCCCTGCTGGCTGTTAGAGAGGACGCAGGTTTAAGTCGCCCCCTGCTGGCCGCTAGAGGACGCAGGTTTAAGTCGCCCCCTGCTGGCCGCTGGAGAGGACGCAGGTTTAAGTCGCCCCTTGCTGGCCGCTGGAGAGGACGCAGGTTTAAGGCGCCCCCTGCTGGCCGCTAGAGAGGACGCAGGTTTAAGTCGCCCCCTGCTGGCTGCTAGAGAGGACGCAGGTTTAAGTCGCCCCCTGCTGGCTGCTAGAGAGGACGCAGGTTTAAGTCGCCCCCTGCTGGCTGCTAGAGGACGCAGGTTTAAGTCGCCCCCTGCTGGCTGCTAGAGAGGACGCAGGTTTAAGTCGCCCCCTGCTGGCCGCTAGAGAGGACGCAGGTTTAAGTCGCCCCCTGCTGGCTGTTAGAGAGGACGCAGGTTTAAGTCGCCCCCTGCTGGCTGCTAGAGGACGCAGGTTTAAGTCGCCCCCTGCTGGCCGCTAGAGGACGCAGGTTTAAGTCGCCCCCTGCTGGCCGCTAGAGGACGCAGGTTTAAGGTGCTTCAGCATTGTTTCACTTTTCAGACCTGGTGGTTCCTGCTTGGTTCATTCTTGTACTTTACTTGCAGTTGCCCAGTCGATAGCACTGTGGCCTCACAGCATGGAGGTTCCGGGTCTGAACCCTGTTCATCCCGGGCTTTTATGTGTGGAGTTTGCATGTAGGTTTCCGGTTTCCCCCACCATTAAAAACATGTTAGGTTCTCCAGCCAGTGCCATCAGCTGCCCTTTGCTCCCAATTCTTGGGGTTAAATGCAGAGGAGACAATAAAGTACCTCCCTCTACCTGCTGAAGTGCCCCTGAGACCTGAGACTCCTCACTGTGAAACCCAAACGTCCCAAACATCAGATTTATAATCTCATGATATATTTAGTGTGTCCATCCATCGTCAACCGCTTACCTTGCGTACAGGGTCGCGGGGATATTTAGTGTGTGAACATCTTAATTTGAAAAGAAAGGAAAGCTGTCAGACAAACGTGGCGCAGTAAAAAGGATTCTGATAAGCAAAAAGTGACATGAAGAAAATACACAAGTAAGATACAAGTACCATAAAATTGTACTAACATGCAGTACTTAGAATAAAGGTAGCAGCCACAAAATGGGATTTAAAAAGAAAATCTTTTAACCAAGGAGAAACGTCAGAGCACAACACAGCAAATTACCTCAAAGGGAAAGTCAAAAATATAAAATTATTTTCAAACACAGTTTAAAAACCGCAGGCTAATTTTATAAGCTGCTTTTATTTTGGCGTCTTTCACAAACCTGCTTCCTGGAGGCTTTTGGACGACAGCCAGAGACACAAAGATGATGTAATGTGATCCATCAGCTCCGACCTCATCACAGCAAATAGAAGAAGGCCCCACCCCCTCACACACACAATAAAGGGGTGTTTTTACGAGGTCGATGTATTCATGGTTTTACAGCACGGGGTGAGTAACGAGGTGAAATCCTCTTTAAGCTGCTCACTAAAACAACGTGATAAAGAAAATGTTCGGATGGGAGGTTAAATAAGAAGTGACAGCTGCACAGAGGCATCTGAAGAATCTGCAGAATGAGAGTCTGAGCGGAGGAAGCAGGAGGCAGGTCTGAACTGGTCCAGACCGAGACCTGCAGAGCAGAGAGACCCTGAAACCCTGAAACTGACAAACAGTCCAGGACTCTGAGCTGCAGCAGCGAGGCCTGAACAGAACATGAAGGACTTGACTGACAATGTCGGCACAGACATGTAAACACAAACACCACAACAACATTTCATTCTGCTGGGGTACAAAAAAACGGACTCATTAAGGTTTTCCACCACCAGTCACTTCATGAGGTCACAAGTGTTAAATATAAACTGTGCAGAGTTCACTCAGAGAGACGGGCGGATGGTTCAGAACCAGCACATTCCCATTTGTGGATTTGGTATTTGGCAAAGTAAGAATAACAGATTTGTTGTGAAGTCCTTTCTTATGATGAGTGAGACGAGTCTGAATGAACTCCGACATGTCTGACCAGAAACATTTTCCGTTGCACGTCTGCAGACAGTTTTAATATTCCGTTCATGTCTTTTAAAGAAAGATTTCGCCTGGTAGAACAAGTGAATCAATTTAAACGAAACTTCTCTCACTTTATTAGAAAGCAAATATTTAAACAATAATGACCACACTTTATCCCAAAGAACACTCTGCGTTATACTATTCCAACATGATATTATGTGAGGAATAGGAACAATATCAACAATGGAATAAAAGTGAAACAAAGATTAGGCCTTAATTACTTCATTAGTTTTCAAAAGGACATCAATTACATTTTTCTTCTCACACTGAACCAGTAAAGAGGTCATATTCTGCTTTTCTGTGCATGTAGCAGGTTTGCAAAGTGAAACTTCTCCCACAGAAACTCTGCTCCTGAACCGAACGCAGCCTTTACTTCAGTAACCTCTCTGTGTGACACGCAGCATGATGCTCGCCGTGCGGCTCCTGTGGCGTTCTCTGGGGCCCCTCTTGCTATTCCTTCTAATGTCTCTGCGAACCCTCCTCACGTGAGGGCCCTGCACACTCAGCAAGGTTATTATAGTATCAGTTTTTATTTTTAATCTGTTTTGACTTTTTGTTTTCAATTTCAGTTTAGTTTGAATTAGTTTTTAACGTGAATTTGCTAGTTTAGTTTAGTTTTTATTAGTTTTAGTCTCTGTCGCTGCAGGATGCCAAGCTCAGTCCAGTTTAGTTTATTCACCAAGCATTAAAATACAAGTACAATCATTAGATATAATGCAGATTTGGGAAAAGGGACACCTTTGTAAGCTATCTGAAGCTTGTAGGGGCCCAAACACTAAGCAAATGTATATTTGAACATATTGTCTAAATAAATGCTACGAATCTATGAAGCACATGCTACATCTACAGTATAATTTCTAACCTACATACAGAAAAGCCTCAGAGCTAAACTACCCTGATCCTGCTACCCAGTGGACCCGAGACGTTCAAACATCGTCTCTAGGAAAGCAGTTAGGCTACATTAAAATGTAAACCTCTATTAATCAGAAAATAGATTCCATGTTAAAAGCACAGACAGGCTGGCTGATCTAATGAGCAGCAGACAGTTAACCCGGAGCAGGACGAGCTCTGATCCCTACCTGGGTCTCCCGGCTACTTTAGCCCCCCCCCCCTCACGTTACATGGGGCTGTCCTCGTAACAGCGGTCGCCACGCTGCGGCCAGACGGCGCCCTGACCCCGGGCTCTCCTGACCTATATATCCACTCCAAATGTAGGTTAATTAGGTCCAATGAAAACTAAAAGACTCTTTCATTTTAGTTAGTTATCGTTCTTTTTGTAAAGCCTCGTTTTTACTTCAGTTTTGGTTATTTCGTTTGTCTTTGTTTACGATACTCAGTCCCCTTGTTCCACCCAGTCCTACGACCCTGACTTAAATACAAATATGAGGTACTTGTACTTTACTTGAGTATTTTGTCCTTCTGCTCCATCTCAGAAAAGATATTATACTTTTTACTTCACTACATTTATCTGACAGCTTCAGAGTTTATAAAATATGATGTTTAGTTATAAATTAAACTCCAGCAGTTTCTACTTTTACTTTAGTAATCATTTTCATTTGTACAATTTGACTTAAGTAAAGGATGTGAATACTTCACCCCGCACTGACACATAAATTTAACTGAGTAAGTTGAAGTATTATTGAAACCTGTTTTTAATGAATGAATGTTTGTTAAAAAGTGTGTGTGTCAGTGACCTCTGAACCAAACAGATGGTACTTTTAATACTTTTTAAAAGCAGCTACTTTTGTACTTTGAGTCAAGTAGAACTTTAAGTTGAAGACTTCTACTTTCAGTGCGGTAACATTTAGAGAGGGTTCTTTCACTTAAGTGCAGGATTTGTGTACTTTGTGCACGGCTGGTTATCAGTCAGCCATAGTTGACTGCAGTACAGTTACCATGTCAGCACACATGAAACTGGAATTATCTTCTTTTTTATTTCATAGACATTAACATTCAGCCTTTTGTTTCAAAGATGGTCCAGTTTTCTTCTCTAACAGCGTCTTTACAGTTTGTGTTTCCTTCCTGACTTCCTGTGTCAGCTGAAACTGCTGCAGGCTGGAGCTTCAGATGAAGTCGTTCAGGCTTCTCCTGCCGTTACAACACATTTATCTCTTCGTGTTGACAAACCCGCTGCTGCTCTGGGGTCTGTTCTCCTGCACTCCTTCATTCAGAGAACGTCTGCAGTGAAGAGTTTCTGTCGTCGCTCAGAGTCTGTGAGAAAATCCTCCACAGGAAGAAGTGACACACGAACCTGACTGGGCGTGTTGTCGTTGTTGTTTGTGTGCTCGTCAGGAGAGGATCCAGTTCCTCCGGCAGCAGATCCTGGATCAGAGGAGGGCGGTGGGGAAAGCCCTGAGGAGGTCTGCAGCCAGGAGCCGAGCTGACCGAGGAGCAGGAGGAGGAGGAGGAGGAGGAGCAGGAGGAGGAGGAGGAGGAGGAGGGAGTCGCCTTCAGACTCTGCTGCTGCGGTACAAACTCATTTCTCAGTACTGTACATAAGCACACATTTCAGGATTCTTGTAATTTACTTGAGTATTTTAATCTCTTGCCACAAATCTCAAAGTACTTTTTACTGCACTTCATTTATCTGACAACTTTTGAGTTTATACACCCCTCGGCGTCACTTTTCCACGTGCAGGGCGTCCTTTTAGACTTTCAAAATAAAACTAGTGGTTAACGTTGTGAAACGTCGCGATTTGGTTACGTTTAGGAAAGAATGATGGTTTGGAGTCAAATATCTACGTTATTTAACTTACGTCACTGAAATAAAAATATCCAATGAGGATTTTTTGTTTCAGGGTCAACAAACGGCGGCCTCCTGGGCCCGGGTTCAGGTCCACTTCCTTACCCAGACTTTTGTGTTAAATATCCTTCTCCTGCCTTCAGCGTTTATAAGCGACGGCCTCACGATGCGTTACAGACCGACACCAACGGGTCTTAACCATGTGTCCGTATGAGACAGCTGGGGACAGGGACATTTCACTGCTTTAATACTTTAATTACAACAAACTCATATTCTTTTACCGAAGGAACATTTTTATTGCAGTACTTTTACTCAAACAGAGTATTTTCACAGTGTGGTATTAGTACTTTTACTACAGTAAAGGACCTGAAAATCCCTGTGCAGGATCCAATCTGAAGCCTTAAATCAAACCGCTCTCAGACTGAAATGCTTTTTTATCTTTATTTAAAAGAAAGTGTCTGTGTGTCTCAGGTTACCTGGAGGTGCTCGCCTGTCTCACCTGCTGGCTCTGTCATCAGTCAGCTGTCTGGCCTGTGGTGAGGTGGGGAGACAGGACAACATGGCCGCCTGTGACGTCCCGCAGTGCTCAGGTACCGACGGGGTTATCTGCAGGCACTGATCGATTAATAACAGCTATTGATAATCATTAACGGCCACGTCAGGTAGAGAGGGGAACGTCACGTTGTCGGCTATTTAATTAATCGCCAACTATTTTGATCCATCGATTAATCAATTTTAAGAAGAAAAGTTTCCTGGTTTCTTTCCTCCTCTGTGACAGTAAACTGAACATCTTTGGGTTGTGGAGAAAACAAGACGTTTCAAGACCTTCGGCTTTGGGAAACGACATTATTTAAAACTATTTTTGATCCATCGATTAATCAATTTTAAGAAGAAAAGTCCAAATTCTCTGATTCCAGCTTCTTAAACCTTCGGATTTGGGAAACGACATTATTTAAAACTATTTTTCTGACATTTTATAAACCAAAAAACATCTGCAAATATCGAGATACTGACTGACAGAAGAAAATAAGCCCTATGTGTAACATGACACCATCTAATCTAACAGCAATCACGTTTGGTCAGGATTAAGAGACCTGACCTCACCTGTTAGGTGGAACAGGTCTTAAACATCAGGCAAAAACATAAAATAAAGAGTGCAATGTGTTTCAGTGTCGTCAAGGTAACGTGATAAAGTGGCAAAGCGCCGTCCTGTTCCTGTTTACAGCATTTTGAGCCCTCGCAGCCTCTTAATCTCAACCACTTTCCAAGTGACGTCAGTGAAGTCTGTGAGGGTTCAGGGCTCAGGGGGGACACTGGGACTGGGCCTTGGAAGTGAGAACGGGTTGACTTTGTCAATCTTTATACGCCACCTGACTTCCTCCCTGCTCCTGTCTTACTCGAGGTCGCGACCTAATAAAAACAGAAATAAGCTGCTGCACAATCGGCCTTCCTAATTTACATTATGATGAAGTTGTGATCGTCAGCGTTTGTCTGTTTCTATTAGGGCACGACAATTATTTAATCCCACGTTAACGCAGTTTTTATTATTATTATTTTGACAGTCCGTTGCTCGCTGGCTCTGAATCCAGTCAAACCCTGAGTCACAGGAGGGGGGGGGGGTGTTGATCAGGTCCTGATCCTGGCTGAACCTGGCAGAGACAAACAGCTTTGGTTTAATATTTGATTTGATTACATTAATGTTTAAGTTGATTTAACAGAAATATTTTCTTGCTGCTGTGTAAAGGAAATACTGCTGGGAAAAAGCTCCTTATTAAGTGTTTGCAAACCACGTTACTGCACTTTTGTGTATATCGCAGTACATTTAAATTAAAAGTGACAATACACTACTTTAGAATTCATTATTCAATGTTGCGCAGAACAATGAGATAAAATATTTTACTGCTGCCCAGCGCAAATTTCAACCTCACTTTTACACCCTTTAGCAGAGTCCTGCTCACTGTGGGTTTCTATTCGCTGACTGCCCTGCACGCTCGGTAGTGGCACCATGGTGTGCAGGATCACCTGAAGAGGGCGGGGCTCTGCAGGAACTGCCAGAGAGGAAGAGGTTTAACAGACTTTAATGTGAATCTGAAGTTCCTCCTGATGTGGAGACGATCTGAGGGGCAGGATGGAGACTTTATCAGCGTCAGGGAGGATCCGTCACCTTTCTGTAGCAGCGGAGCGTTGATCCATTGTTGGAGTGAACTGTGTGTGTGCTGAGGGCGTGTCCTGCTGCTCTAACTGTTGACGCAGCTGAAGTCGGACAGATAACAGACCTGGGGCCAGTTAACCCTTCGTGAAGCAGCAGGAACTTTCCTCCAGTTCAGCTTTAACCAAGCGACGCACAAGGATCCAGCTGAGCAGCAGCTAAACGTCACATTCATGCCCTGAATTATCTTTGACCTGAGAACACCAAAGAAGAATAAAACTGCGTGAAAAAAAGCAGCAGGTACAGATGAGTTCCTGCAGAAAAGATCTCTCCCGTCGACCTTATGAGGTTTCGTCACAGGAAATCCGGATAAAGGATGCCGCTGACTTGGTATCTGTCGGTCCCTCACACTGAATTCAGTTCACAACAGTTATCTCATGTCCCTTTTATTAATTACCAAGGCCTCTGATGAGGGACAGAAAGGTGAACCGAGCTTTTTATGCTGGTTATTAATAGTAAAAGTTATTTTGTTCTGTAGCTACAGTTAGTTTATAAAGAGCCTCAGACGCTGCACAGACTCTCTGTTCAGCAACAAGTAGTTCCACAGCGTAACTCCTCAAACTACAGCCCTCAGACAGGCTTCGAGGTGAAACGCAGCGTGGTGATCAGTAAGCCCCGCCCACACCGCTACGTTTGCTCCTCCCGTCCAGACTAACACGGCCGAAACGACGACCTAAAAGGGAGAAGTTTGAAAACGCTGCAGAACCTGTTTTTCATTTTGAAACTCTGGAGAGCGTTTTAGTGCAGACGGGCAAAACTTTAGAAACGATGGCGCCGACGCTCACGCTCGGCTCTCTGACCGGGTCACAGAAGTCATGCGAAGCAGAAACACGATGCTGCTGAGTTGTGATTTGCTGTTAAAATATTTGTACAGTGCAAATAACACTTCCAGCCTCCACTTGTGCTCTGCATGTCGCCATATTTACTTTGCGACGACTCCCAGTCTGTTTCCCGCCGCCACATTCAGTAACCGTCCCAGCTCGTTATTGGTCCATGCAAAATCAAACCTGATTGGTCTTCGTCTGCAGTACTGAACAGACCATCTGCTTCATGTTTACATGAACCTGAACGGCCACTAGCTGCAGACGGAGATCAAACTGGTTTTAAAGCTGCGTTTTTAAACTAAAAGAGAGTTGTGTGGGCGGGGCCTCGGTGTGGGCGGGGCCTCGGTGTGGGCGGGGCCTCGGTGTTAAAGGTGTAAACCAGTCGGCTGACTCCTGAGTCTTCTCTTGTTTCTCATCTTCACTTTCTCCTTGTGACTCAGTTTAACGTCACAGACGTCCAAATGTTTCCTAAATGTTTCCGCAGATACGCTGAGTGTCATATTTGGTGAAAGGTTTCAGCTCCCTGCATCCTGCCAGAGTGTCTTTTGGTTTTTTTACGAGCTGCCGCCGTCTTGTTTTTGCAGGCCTGTACTGTCGTCCATGTTTCCACAGTTTGGGAAACACGTGTGTCGTCTGCACGCGACCTCTGACCTTCCAGGAAGACGGCGAGGAGGAGCTGTGAGTGTTTGCTGCTACAGTCAGACTGTCCTCAGCTTCAGGCACAGCACGGGATCATGGGATTACAGACAGTGGTGGGATGTAACTCAAGTACTGTACCTAAGTCCAATTTTGAGGTACTTGTACTTTACTTGAGTACTTTGATATTTTATAACTCAATACAACCACTGTGCTTTTTGCTGCACTGCGCGTGTCTGACAGCTTTAGTTACTCTACAGATTACCTTCCTCTCCACTGAGCGACGCTACAAACCGTGATGATCTTATAGACCATGATGCATTGCTGCAGATTAAACAACACATGCTCACTCCCAAGCCGTCACATATGGACACACCCGTTCTGAACGCTACAGGCCGGTGAAGGATTAACAGAAGAGTTAGGAGGTGTGTGGGGGCGACGGTGGGCCAGAAACTGGACTTTCAACCAGACCAGAGACCAGTGCGTGAATTTAACAGGGTTTTTTTAGGTTACATAAGTTGTGTAACGTTACTTAACTTACGTGAATTAACTGACGACAGAAAGCGACGCCGAGCGGTCTGACCACATGTGACGAGTTGTGGGAGAGAATGTGTTGATTAAACTGCCTGACAGGATATAAAGAGTTAACAGATCAGCTGCAGTAAATTAAAGGAGTATTCAGACATACCAGAGAAACATTTAGTGCAACAGGAGTACTTTTACTGCGATACTGTACATGCTGCTGATAATACTCACATACTTTTACTGAAGGAAGGTTTGAATGCAGTTCTTTGACATGTAGTGAAGTGTTTTCAGACTGTAGTGTCTGTTTCTTTAACCAGCTGATGATTTCGCTATAAAATACACTTGAAATCTTCCCTGAACTGAAACTGAGCAGCCAAAAGTGCTTCTGGGAAATAAATAAATTATCTGGATATAAAAACAGTTTTTTTGTGTCTGTCAGCGACTCCAGCGACGACGAGCAGCAGAGTTTGTGCTCTGCAGCTCTGAACTCGAGTCACATCACCGACCACCGCGGCAGGAAACTGATGAAGAGGGCGATCTCCACGGCGACGCGCCAAAGAGCGACCGGGCGAGTCAGAACGGCAAAAGCAGACGATGGAGGAGAGAGCGACGGCGGCGACACTGACTCTGAGCTCAGGTAGGACACGACTGTCTGAGCGCCGATTCCTCCTGCTGTCAGCAGAAGGTAACTGTAAATATAAAACAAGCAGAACATCTGTTTTCCCACCCTCGCTGCTGGCAGTGAAGCAGACATGGCGTACCAGGACCGACCCGGGTCAGACGACAGCGACGCTTCCTTCTACTCCGTCACCTCCAAGGAGATAACCTGCAGCCTCCAGGACCAGAACCTCCACACGGTCATCATACACACACCGGACTGTGCCCCAAACCTCCAGGACCCTCCAGGACCCTCCAGGACCCAGTCCCCCAGACCCTGATTCAGAACTGTCTGTTAGTGTGAGCAGATTCTGTGATTAAAGTCAATAAAGCATAAAATGAAAAAGTGAACTCTTTTTCTGGAGCTTTCATCTGCATCTGAAGCTTCATCCACACTAAGATCTCCGTCTGTGTTAAAACGACTGAAAACATCACGTTTTTTGTGCATGTAACACGTTTGCAAAGTGAAAAAGACCAAAGTGAGTTCCCATCTCCCACAGAAAACTCTGCTCTGAACTGAAAACAGCTTGTTTGTAGTCCAGCCGCTTCCTTGGATGAAAGCTAAACAGCCTCATATAACGCTCGCCGAGCGGCGACTCCGACACGCCCTCAGAAACAGCGAGCTGCAGCACACAGCTCTCCTCTCCCTTCCAAACACTAGCTACCCTCCAGGCAGTCAGTGGACAGAAAGTTGTTCCTGTGATGTAGAGACAGAGCTCAGTTAAAACTTTATGGATACAGATTAATAACTCACCGCTCTGAAACTCTCGCTCCAGTACGGCTGAACCCGAGCTGTTTACCGGCTTCTCGCTGACCCGCCCTACTCTGCTTCTGATTGGCTAGTAGTCCTTAACTAGGAACTGAGCATGTGCAGCTCCCTGCTTTTTCCTTGCCTCTGTCGCCTGGTGCTGCTCTCGGTGGGAACTGTTGGGCTTCATCACAGTACGGTCTAGACCTGCTCTTTATGAAAAGACCTGAGATACGAGATGATGAGTCACGAAATATTCAATGCTGAAATACATGAGATTGAGATTTTGAGCATTAAACACTCAATTTCCTGCATTCTGCAGAAAGTTTCTGCACCAATTAATGTTGGAAATGTTTTTATTTATATAAAGGGAACTACTAAAAAATATGACAGAACATAAAGGAGATTGTTTTGTAGTTTTTTGGAAAATCTGTTTCTTCTATATTTAAACTGCAGTGCATGTTTTCTTATTTAATTTGTTATATAAGATTTCTTGTTGCATTTTCATTCAACATTTTGAACGAGCTCTTTACAAAGTGGTGGCTCCCCGGCGGAAATGACCCCTATCTGCCCAACTCATTCATATCTGGCACGAGCGCACCGGTTTGAGCTCTCCTGCGTAAAGGCGCGCGCAGCTCCAGCTCATTCACGCTCGTGCAGCTGAATGCAGAGCCGGACAAAAAACAAACACTCCAGTCAAAGTAGTTTCAAAACGCAACGAGGAAAGTTTCCCTTCCTAAACAAACAACATTCCTGCTTTGTTGTAGCGAGTTAACCCACCCCTGTGCGTGTGCGCGCGCAGTGGGAGGACTCGGTGACTCCCAGCAGGAAACCGTGTCCCTCCTCCCCGTCAGTCTCAGCTCGGTGTCTCTCGGACTCGGTGTGTCTTTTTTCGGCGAGCAAACCCGCACAGATGGCGACCAAGGTAAGGAGACCCACACCGTCCAGCGGTCAGCCGGGAGGTCGGCGGGGAGCAGGAGGGGGGGTGAAATGTCTCTGGGAGTTTGTTCCAAATTAAAATAGGATTTTTATTCCCGATTCTAAAAGTTTATAAGAAGCTCTTCCGGTTAATGAGCCGCTGATGGAACCAGAGTCTGATCCTTTCATTCATTTTATTGATTTTATATTAAACGGTCTTTTATGCTCCTCCTGTTTGTCCATGCGGGGCGCGTCCCAACACCTTCATCCCGGCTCAGGCTGAAACGGTCCGACTCTAACAGCTAAGATCATCCCAATCAGTTATACTACCTAAAGATATATATATATGTACAGTGGTGGAAGAAGTACTCCGATCTAGTACATTATTTATTAGTTACATTTATATTTTGTATTAATAATCGGGAATCTGCAGAGTAACTCAAGAGTGGAGTAAGAAAGTAGCATGTTGTAGTTAATAAATGAAGTTTGGAAATGTTGACCTCGTTGATCAGATGAGAGCTTCAGCGTGTTGAGTCACTTCGTCTCCGACATTATTGATTTAAAAGGTAAAAACCCTGCAGAAATAACAGATAAACAAACATTTGACCTGTTTATTCACGTTAAGTCCGAGTCCAGCTCACACCTTCAGCAAACACAGGACAAACATGCTGATTTTAAGTTACTGGTTCCAGCTGATGCTCAAATGTCCCACTTTTAATGAACCCACCTTAATGTTCAGTTCTGACTGCTCCTCTGCAGGTAATCCAGATTTATAATCTTATGCTACATGTGTTTAAAAAGTAGCAGCAGTGAAATGGGCCCCAAATTCCACAAGTACAAGTACTTTATATATATTATGCAGTATGCGTGTGTGTATAAGTACTCACTGTAAATCTGCCAGGTGCAGCTTTAATATCTGTTCAATTAAACAAAACGCGGCAAAGATTCTACTGTTCTACGGTTTTGGCAGCAGCTGAAGCTCCACTGTTTGTTTCTGGTCGTTTGGAGCCTCGCAGCTGCTTCAGGTTCGGGTGTCGAGGGATTCTGGTCTTTTGTGATCAATAACAGAAATATGAGACTAATTCTGTGGCGAGGAGCGAGCGTCAAAACGTTTGTGTGGTCACAGACCACCAGCTGCAGGGGAAAGGAAAAGTCTGAGCTTCAGGTTTGAATCCTGGTGGATACAGAAGGTCAAACGGGTTTTCTGGAGTGGTGGTTTAAGGGGAACATCTGGACTGGGGTTCTGTTGGTTTAAGGGGAACATCTGGACTGGGGTTCTGGTGGTTTAAGGGGGACATCTGGACTGGGGTTCTTGTGGTTTAAGGGGGACATCTGGACTGGGGTTCTGTTGTTTTAAGAGGAACATCTGGACTGGGGTTCTTGTGGTTTAAGGGGAACATCTGGACTGGGGTTCTGGTGGTTTAAGGGGAACATCTGGACTGGGGTTCGGGTGGTTTAAGGGGGACATCTGGACTGGGGTTCTTGTGGTTTAAGGGGGACATCTGGTTGTTTAAGGGGAACATCTGGACTGGGGTTCTGTTGGTTTAAGGGGGACATCTGGACTGGGGTTCTGGTGGTTTAAGGGGAACATCTGGACTGGGGTTCTTGTGTTTTAAGGGGGACATCTGGTGGTTTAAGGGGAACATCTGGACTGGGGTTCTGTTGGTTTAAGGGGGACCTCTGGACTGGGGTTCTGTTGTTTTAAGAGGAACATCTGGACTGGGGTTCTTGTGGTTTAAGGGGAACATCTGGACTGGGGTTCTGGTGGTTTAAGGGGGACTTCTGGACTGGGGTTCTGGTGGTGTAAGGGGGACATCTGGACTGGGGTTCTGGTGGTTTAAGGGGAACATCTGGACTGGGGTTCTGGTGGTGTAAGGGGAACATCTGGACTGGGGTACTGGTGGTTTAAGGGGGACATCTGGACTGGGGTTCTTGTGGTTTAAGGGGGACATCTGGACTGGGGTTCTGTTGGTTTAAGGGGGACATCTGGACTGGGGTTCTGGTGGTTTAAGGGGAACATCTGGACTGGGGTTCTGGTGGTTTAAGGGGGACATCTGGACTGGGGTTCTGGTGGTTTAAGGGGGACATTAGGCAGATTTGTGTTGAGTCTTGGTCTTGGCAGCTCTGCAGCCGCCGCCCTCTTTCACAACAGCAGCCGACCCTCAGAGAGCAGCTCTGATCTCATTCAGCTGTTTAACTGTTTAGACCCCCCACCCACACAAGCAGCAGCTCGGGGCCCCTCAGACCCCAGGGGCCACCGTTTCTCTGTGATGATCTCAGTCTTTAAAGCTCTCTTTGGAGACGCCTGATGTGAGGGCGTGGAGCCCAGGAACAGATTGTGGGTCTATGACAGCACGTTTTGGGAATCTGGGAGCGCTGTGAGAAAAGAGAGAAGATTTCATCTGTTTGTTGTGGACTTTTACCTAAATGCCTTCTGTCGCAGGTTTGTTTGAGCTAACTGAGCCACCCTTTAAAATAATGGACCAACGAATGTTTTGGCAGACGCAAGCGAGTACTAATCTGTTTTCAGGCTGATAGCGGAGCTGCTGCTGTTTGTCTCCCTCCTACAAAGTCAACACTGACGGCCGATAACCTGCTAGTCCCACCGAAGCCACTTCACACAGCTGCTGGCTGTTAGTCGGTCTTTTGACTTCCTGTCCGTAGCGGCGACGTGCTGCGGCGTGATCACCTCCACCTGCATTCGGATCTCCTCCTCTGACCAACACAGACTGTAAATAAATAACTCGCAGCTCTGAGGCTGGAGATGATTAACTTCAACTGAGTCACACGGAGTTGAATTTGAACATTGGACATTTCAAATAAAAGCAAATCAAACCGGCTTATCAGGCCAGATTCTGATTGGCTGACAGACTGAGTATCCTGTGTTGACTCAGTGAGTGGCTCAGACCCACATTCACATCACACGGATCCTTAATGAATGCTGCTTTGTTTTGATGTCAGGAGGAACCTGAGACTCTGATCTGTGGGGGAAGACGTCTCCGCTTCTTCTATAAGCGCCTCCCAGCTCAGATTGTTGATCGCTGATAGAGATTCCTGAGATTCCAGCTGTGGAGAGTTTCAGTCAGCAGCAGCTTCACTTCCTGTGAACCTTTGGTTTCTGCTCTGACTTCAGTTTAATCGCCGCGCTGCCTGACGGTGACAAGAAGATGATACAGACAGATTGTTTCTCTCTGGAATCCAGAAGGCGTCACCTCATCAAAAGGTGTACGAACAACACGCCGATTTAAGTCATTTGTTAGTTGATGGGCTTTATCATTATATTATATATATTATTCATATAGCTGATGAATCTAGTCATGCAAACGCCCTCCTGCTGATGTCCCGATAACTGTTCAGTCAACACATATATATTTCAGGGAAGTCACAGACGGCGAGGAGCAGTCTCTCATCCATCATCTTTTTGTTCTGCGCGTCACGTACAGAAAGTTAAACTTTGGCTTCACGTGAACACGCCTGCTTGTCGCTACGCCTGTCGCAATGCCCACGCCTCCCTTCCTACACGCTCGCCTCTCATTGAAGATGAATTACGAGGCGCGTAAATTGCTTCCTGTGTGAAAAGGCCTTAAGGTGGTGGCGGGGTGGTCGGGTGGATACCCAGGAGACCGGCGTTCGGTTTTAAACATTAGTTTTTAGTTTTTTTATTTATGTTACGTTTACGTAAGTT